ACTAGATGTGTGACCAAGGGCAGGGATGCCTTCTCACAGCCTCGGCTACTTCCTCTATAAAACAGAGCTAATGGTACCTACCGCCACCCCCAGATTTCCCGGGAGGATTCAACCCAACAACGTATGTACAGTGCTTAGCATGCAGTGCTCAGTTCACGGTAGTTGTTCTTATAATGATATAACACGAGAAAAAACTTGGAGAACAAGGACATCCACTCTGGCATTTTCCACATTTGTGAAAACCTGGAATAATCTACAGATCCAATATGAGGCACGTGCTCAGGCAGACCACACACATGCACATGATGGGCTCTTCTGTGGTCACCAACAACAGGGCATAAAGGACCTGTGGCAACTCTGTATTAAGGGGTATTACAAGGAAGCCGGCAGCTCTGTAAAACATATTTAGGAAAAAAGACTGGACGGGAATCTGCAGAAATGCTAATAAGTAGGTGAACCGAAGTCATGGGATTCAGAATTAACCTGTTTTCCCTAACTTCCATTTTGTCTATAAGACTATTGGGTTATTTTTACGAACAAAATTACTGGATAAGAGCAGATTTTTGCATGGATCTGGCCAGAGGGGTGACAGGGCAATGGCTTGTGGGCTGCTGGTGGCTGAATCTGGACCATTCTTTACTTAGTACAATGAAACTCCAAATAACCAGCCTGTAGCCAGGCAAGACTCAGGTGGCTGGAGGGAGTTCTGTCCTTCAGAGCACAAGGTGTGCACTGAAAGAGCCGTGGTTCTGCAGCTGGCGGGGATGGGGCACATCTCAGATCCACACTGAGCACAAGCCCCTTCACCATTAGGTCTCAGAAGACAACCCTGCCCTTCTGCGGTGGGGGGTGGGGTGGGGGGAGGGCAGGGGTTATTTGTTTATTAGGTTTATTTATTTATTTTTAGCAGAGGTACTGAGGACTGAACCCTGGACCTCATGCATGCTAAGCACACACTCTACCACTGAGCTATACCCTCCCCCTAACCCTGCCCTTCTGGATTGTTGTGAAGATTACATAAGGTGGGGGCCACCTGTAACCACCTCCCTCCGAACACTCAGCCCCCACGGCAGTGAATGGATGAAAGAGAGAGGCATCTGGGGACCAGTAGGTCACTCCCTGCCTTTGGCCTCTGTCTGCTCTGTGTGTGTGGGCCAGAGGGGTGGGCAGTACTGAGCACAGCGCTGCCTTTTAGAGCTTGCAATAGGTCTTTCTAAGCCTCATGTTCGATGGGAAATTGCCTTCTATCTGGCAAGCAAAGGGAAGATAAGCTGAGGCCTGTCAGCTATGCACACTCCTGCTGAAATAACCAGTCCACCTTTAACAGGTGGGGAGCTGTGACCTCCCTGTGCCCACTGCAGCCGCCATCATCCTCCCCACTCAGAGTAGCTCACAGTCATAATTAGTCATAATTCTTAACAAAAAGCCTGTGTAGTGCAGAAGAATGGGGGAGGCCTCTGTCATCAGATGCCAATCTTTCCATTTTCTAGCCCTGAGACCTTGGGCAAGTCAAGTCTCTCTCTCTCTGACCCTCAGTTTCCCCATCTGTTAAATGGGAAAGCCACCCGTCACAATCTTAAGGGATGTTCAGTAAATGTTACTTCTCTTTCCTTCTTCAGATAGACATACTCAGGCACCAGTGACCCCTGCTTCCTTGGCAGGAAGAGGACTGAAGTCCAGGGAACCAGAGAGGAAGGTGGCGTGCAGGGCAGTTCATCTCAGGACCCGGCGCTGTCTCTCTGGGCAAAGCCAGGATAACAGTAGACCCCCTTGGAAAGCAGAGGGCAATTAAGAGAATGAAACTGAGCAGTATTTGGAGTCCTGGCCCTGCCACTTGTAACTGGATGACCCTGGGATGCTGGTCAGTACATTTTCTGAGCCCGACTTCCATTCTGTAGAAGGGGAAACGAATTCCAGCCCAAGGGGGCCTAGGGCACAGGGGCACTGCACTGCACTTGCTGCCACTGGGGTCTGGCCCCAGCCTGTGCTGCCGTCTCTCCTAACCCTAACTCTTACCCCCGGGGGTCCTCGGGCACACCACCAGCCATGTTCTGAATAAGAATGTAAGTAGCTGATACTTCTTGAGGAGAGACTGTCACTGAATATTAAGTAGTTCATGTTAACTGAAAAACAGAGGGAACATTTCCCCCACAAATCTTCCTAAAGTGTTCTTCCAATTGCCATCAAATGGTTTTAAGGGGCTAGGACACTCACCTTCGGGGAAGAAAATTTGACAAAGGAAAAATTTCATTTTGGGAAAATGCAAGTCAACAAAATTCAGCACTGGGGTTCCCTTTAGGGCCTCCTTTAAAAATCTAAGATGCTCACACCTAGTAGGTTTTTGAAGACATTTGCTGAACGAATGGACACAAGAATGGACAGAGAGACATGACCCAGAAAGGAAAAACTGGACTTCGATGGATGGACTGGTTAGAGAGCTGCCGGTGATGCCACTGGGCCTCGGTGAATTCCAGACACTGAGGCCTTCTTACTCTTAATCAGCTCCAGCTTGCTGTCCACAAAGTTAATTATTTAATGTGCTTTTTGGAAGTGAGAGTTGGGGCAAGAAGTCAGGAGGACCGAATCCTTCCCTCAGCTTCAAAGATCCTGGGTCTCTTTCTGCTGCCCAAATCCTCTAAGTTTCCGATGCACTTTGATACTCCCAGTGGAGACAAAGATCCGAGAGTCAAGAAAATCCAGGCCAGATTAAAGGGCCAGGCACCGGGTCCGTGTGCCCAACACCGAACCACCCGCAACAAAGGCCCATTAGGCTCCAGCTCCTGCCTGCCGGCTTGTCTTCTCGTGTCTCCCAACACAATGCTGACAGATTGGTGGAGATGGTTTCTTTCCACCCCCCAAAACAATATTTTATGAGGAGTCTGTTTTATTAAAATATTTTCCGCTGGATGCTTCCTGTGTTTCAAGAAGTTGGTCTTGCCAGCTGGAGCTGGTGACAGTTGAGAAAAACACATCCAAGTGCTGTTGTGACATGGCATTTGGAAGTGGAGGAGCACAACGGGGGGTGGGGGGGGGAGAAGGCAGCATGGGAAGATACGCAGGAAAACCTCCGGGTTGCACGAGAAATGTCACTGGCATTATGGGCCAACAGCCCCGCCCCCCCCACATTGAAAAAATGTGAATAGAAACTCCTGGAATGATGTCCAAATATACCTGCCTATTTCCTGGTGGACCAGGATCACCTATCATTTGTTTTCTATCACTGTCAGTTTGCCAGCCCCCCCAAACTAGCTCCCTCTGCTCCCACTGGTTCATTTCAACCCCAAATGTTTCCCCAAAAGAAATCTAAAAGAAGGCATACTGCAAAAAAACAAACAAACAAACTCAAAAACCAAAACCCCACAAAAAGTGGTACTGACATAGTTCTGGTAATCACCAGAATGATGGGGTTGCCAGACACTGGGTCTCTGCAAACACTGAAGAGGCAATCCTCTAACACGGCTGGAAAAGCAACAGCGTGAATAAATGTGGGGAGGAAGTTCAAGCTGTAATTGGCAACCCGGCCACAAAATGGTAATGCTTGTCTGTGGAATGGAAAGTGTTGGTCCGGGGTGTTTTGGGTGCAGTGCAAGGATATTCTGGATTTGCATTTCAGTATCTACAGGCCCATGACCCTGTCTTCCAGTACAGTGTCTAAAATATTAGGCCAGTTTTAAAGAGGTGGCTCTAAAGAAAAGTGACTAATTTTATCCCCCTAAGGAAAAATCTTTGGGTCTGGGGCACCCTGAAGCCATGCAGCACTTTCTCCACAAGAGGGCAATCATAATCCACACCAGGGAGATAGTCCTCAACTTTCCCACGGTCCTATTGTGCACAGCAAAAGTTAAACCTGCACCCAACTTCTGGAGCCCTCTCTTCCAGATTCTGCATCACCAAACACCTCTCAAGACACACAGACACACAGACACACACAGCTCTGAGGGCTGCGGAGGTAGGCCGGTCCTGTAACGACATGGCAGTCTCAAGTGATACCACATGGCCAACCAGAGAGTCCTCAAGCACAGCAACCCCATGAGGCCACAGCCTGACATCTGGGAATCATGTCCTCCCTTTGGCTCCTTTTCTGGCTAGGACCTGCCATCTCCCTTAACTCCTTTCCCTGAGAACTTCTCTGAAAATAAGGCAGACATGAGTCCCTCTTCACCCAAGGGACTGCAGGGGCATTTTTTCTCCCCAACAACCTTAGACCAAGATGGGTTCATCAACTCTTTTAGGGCATCACAGGAAGCCCATGTGCAGCCATTGGGTTGTCTGGGCAGAGGCCACACGGGCTGATGGAAGTGGTGTCACCTTTCCCATGTGGCTCTGGAGTCGGGTCTGGGCAGCTTCAGGCCTCCTCCATCCTCTGGCCACTGCTTGTACACCTGCCTCGTCATTCACCTCATCCTCCCAACGCCCACCCAGAAAGAGACTCTAAGCTGATCCTATGTGAGGTACTGGCCATGAGACCTAGTGCCTGCCCCAAGGGGCTCTGGGGCCAAGGGGAGGTAGAAAAGCAAAGTCGTAATAAAACAAATGCTAAGGCGTGGGTGGGCAAAGGTCCCGGTGCGGGTGGGCTGTGGATAAGGAGAGTCCTGGGTGTAAATCTGAGCTCGGGAGACCTGGAGCAGCCCAGACCTAGGAAGGTGGTGGCCCTCATTAAACACGTCAGCCAGGTCTCTCTCCTGCTGACCCTCTATCTTCAGCATAAGAAAAGGCCTGGAAGCTTTTTCTGAGCTTGTCTGAGCTCCCCCTGGCCGTCACCACTCAAAACCCAACCCCGGGTGCCGGCTCCCTGGCCTCTGGGGCCTCCCGCTGGTGTGACAACTGCTGGCAGAACCCACACTGAAGATCAAGCCCTGATCCCCGACTGACCTCTCTGTGAGGCACCCGCTCGGGCTCCAGGGAAGCCTTTCAAAGGAGGGGCTGCCGCGTGGGCTCCACAAAGCGCTGGCCCCGCTGGGCTCCTGCAGCAGTGGGGGAGGGAGCGATGGGGTACTCACTGCTCGGGGCTCGCGACGGACGTCCTCCGGCCTTCCACCGTGATGTTGCTCTTCGGCCTCTTAACGACGTGTGGCCGAGGCGGGCGCACCTGGAGTGGGCACAGGGGAAAGGCCCCAAGAAGGGCTGAGTTGGAAGAGCCACACAGGGACATTCTCAAGATGCAGATAAGCGGCCCTGAAACAAACGCTGAGGGAATTTCACGGTACAGGCTCAAAGGCTCCGCTTGTCACAGAGACACAGCCATTGAATTTGCAGCCAATGCATGACCTGGAATTCGTGGCCTACTCAGATGGGAACGGCTCTTCCGAGGGGCTGGTTTCCTCATCTGCAGGTAGGGGATGGTTCCACCTTCCTCCTCACAGGGCTGCCGTGAGGGGTCAGTGAGATAATGTCTGTGCAGGACCCAGAGCAAAGAGGCTCTCGTTAATGGCAAGTCCCATCTGCCTTCTCCCGGAACCCGGACCCGGCTTGGCAGAACAAAAAGGTTTCACTCAGACTCTGTTTATAGGGTGTGTGTGTCATTTTGTTTTTTTTTACAACTGAATTACAGGATGCTTATTTTTCTAAGTGGGAGGGGGAGAAAAGGAAATACTAATAGCGTGAGAGTGCAGTAAAAATCCTCTTTCTGATTCCCCAGGCATCCCTGTGCAGTCCTCCCGAGCCGGGCTCAGCCTGGATGTCACTCACCACGGGGACTTGGCTCGAGGGTCAGTGGTGGGTGTGTTTGACAGTGAAGTATACCCCTTCCTAATCCAAAGCCAGGCTGCAGAGACAAGGTTTTTTTTTCTCCCCTGAGCTGTGGCCTCTGAAAGCCAAGACGAGGGACCATATAAAAAGACACCCCCTTCTCCCATTAGAGCCCATGATGGGAGCTAGGTTAAGAATTTCCAGGTGTCCTTAGAAGGATATTCATTTGGTCTAATCAACATTACCTGGCTTTAAGTTTGGCACCATCATCTCTGAACAGTGCCAGGGAGGGACAGGAGAAAGCTAGGAAAGCCTGTGTACGAATTTTGTTGTCAGCGAAAACAACTGCGCAGCCCAGTGCAAGGGCCACTCCCTCTGCAGACGAGGGACCACGGCAGGAAACACCACAGGTGCTGAGATTAGCGGACAAGGCAGGGAAGGAGAGCACACACATGCTCCACTCCCTGCACCCTCTGGCCAGAACCATCCCCGCCCCCGCCCAGCGTTGGTGGACCACACAGCACAGTGACTTCAGAACACAGATTACAGAAGCCAGCTGCGTAACAGACAAGTCTTTCTAGAGTCTCATCAAGCCCTCAGGTCTCCACATGTTTGATCTAACCAAAGTTTTTCCTGCGGAATCAGAGATGTGGTAAAAGCCAATCGCCTTCCACCAAACTTGCTGTCTTCTTCTATGGGGTTACTGTGATGATTTGATGAGATGACACAGGGAAAGCGCTGGCATGGGGTCTGGCACACAGTGGGGGCTCAATAAACGCGCACCTTGCTTCTCTGGACCTTATCAGTAACAAAAGGAAGCTGGGGGTGGGGTGTCTTCGAATTAGAAGACGTGGTTTATGACCGTCTTACCCTTGCCTTGCACCCTGCTCAGTGCCTGGTTTAGGGTGGTCCCTTAGCCAGGTTTTTAGAAGCAAGTGAACACCTCTGCCTGGAATCTAAGCAGCGCATACAAATGTTGCTATTATTATTGCTGCTATTAGAATGATGCCTGCCACGGAGCAGACATCCAGTCACCGTTTGCTGATCAACGAATGGACTTGTCCCCAACCCGAGCCAACTCTGAACTGCTTTCCCGGCCCAGAGCCAGACGCCTCTGCCTCTCGCAGCTGGTAAACAGGATCACCTGGTTCGAGTGCTCCCCACTTTGCACCACAAAGGGGGCATTCGGCTGGGGCCGAGGAGCAGAGCTGCCCTGCCTGGAGGTCCTGGGGTGGGGGCTTCGGGAAGGTCAGACATTAAGGCCTGTTCGCCTGTCCTCGCACACAGCTGCTCCTCGGTACAATAGAGGCGGGTTAGGAATGTGAACTTGTGGCTGAAATGGGGGGATTAAGTTTGTGGCAACTTCAACTGAACTTGCAACGTGGTGAAACATGGGGAAAAAGAACAACAGAGCTAATTAGACGAGCTGAGCTGTCAGAGTGCCGCTGAATGGCTCAGCGCCAACAAACAAAAGGAATGGGTTGGCAATCAGCAGGATCGATGGAGAAGACTGCTTCATTAGGGATGATGAACCAGACAGAGCAGGGAGAGGGAGGGGCAGGCGGGGAGGGCGGCAGCGAAGGCGGGGGAGGGGGAAGAAGGCACAGAGGACCCAGAGACAGCCACCCGCGCGACTGCAGACACACCCAGAGTCACACGCACCTGATTGGTGTGGACAAAGCAGACACAAAATTACACCCATGGACAACCACCCAGAGACACGCACGGAGGCCTCGAGATGCCAACAAACCCACAGTCTCACAAATACACATGCACAGAGGCACACACAAGAGGCGAAGGCACATGCACGAATCTCCCTCTCTCTCTCTCTCTCTCACACACACACACACACACACACACACACACACACACACACACGACGC